AACTGGAATAGTGCAAGTTAAATATTAATTTGCGGGCCCCACGGGCTCGACGCCTCATGGAACGAGTTTTTTTATAAAATTGTTTTACGTCTCTGCCCACGACAGATTATAATAAGTTACAGGTTCACCCTGTATATTACATTTATATAAATAGAAAAATTTCTATCATATCGTAAAGGCATATGAAATGAAATATTTTATATTTCCAATAGCAACTTTTTATCTGTATGTGTAAAGCAAAAATTTAAGGTAAATTCAATATAAAATACAAAAATACACAAAAAATAATAATCAAAGAATAATATAGAATTTTCAGAGTTGCTATGGTATTTCTATAAGGATTTCAAAATTGAAGATTTACATGCGAGCTTAGTTTTAAATTAATATATCTATATATAATTTGTCATATTAATATGTAGAGTATTTCACAGATACTATGTATTTAGGATTATTTCAATTACAATAATTATTTAATAATAATTTTCTTAATATAAATATTTCAATATTTTATTCATAGTTTATTTTATTGATAGTTTTTAGTACAGACAATGTCAAATTCGCTCAACTTTGTGATTTAACAAATGATAGTCCAATTTTTGGACAACACTTTGAAAATATCAATACTTCATTATTAGAATATATGTACGTATACAATATATAAATTATGAATCTGTTCGCCAAATAATTTCATATTTGGACCATTCAATTTGGACCAGTGGGGACTGATGTAATTTGATATTATTATCTAAATTTTTTTTTCGAATCGTAAGTAATAACTTACATTTTACAACTATACTGAATCTTTATTCGGCAATATTGTGGACGAAATTTACTACAAAATATTACTTCAAATTTGATGTTTCCAGTGAACTACCTGAAATGGAATAGTAATCAATTCATTTACATCATGTAACATTTAGAAGATTGACACCTATAATTTTTAGCACTTTTCCAAAAATTTTTTGAAAAAAGTGCTTATTAGTTTCATTCTGTCCGTCCGTCCGTCCGTCGGACCGTGTGTCTGTTTAAAAAACTTCTACACCCTTGAAGATAGAAAGCTGAAATTTTATATGTACATAGATCTTTACTAAAAACTTATTTCCATAGAACAAAATTTTTACCTATCTCCCCTCCTCTAGAAGTTATACCCCCCCAAAATCCTAAAAATTCCCTTTTTTAAATATTTGTTGCAATGAAACCATAAGCATTTTTGAAATTTTGCAAACGTAGAAAGACAATGGCTTCTAGCACGGTATGCTATAGTTAAACTTTAGAAAAACAAAATGGCCGCTCAAATTTACCGTTATCTAAAGTCCTTTTTTTCCAAATTTTTGATGTCGTTTTTCTTCTAGACCCCAGACTGTAGAAACTTGAAATTTTAGGAGCTTTTAGATATTAATAAATAGTTCATTTTGTTAGAAGAAAATTTTTTTCCATCTCCACCCCCTCTCAAGTTATCACCTCTTGAAATTCGTAAAATTTGAATTTTGACACCTTATATTTCCGAAACCGCAAGCTTTTTCAAATTTCTATAAAAGCAAAAAGTTAACGGTAAATTCCATGACATTAAAAAATATAATTATTTTTCTTAACTCACATAATTAACCCTTAAAATCGAGCATTATGTTAACCCCACTTTATATTAATTTTTGCTTTATTTCAAAGACTGCATAAATCGTTCATCCTAAATATATGCAATTCTAGAAATATTTTTGTATATGAATGAAAATAATTTTAATAGTGTGATAGGTATACATAGACTTTATTTAAAAGCAGAATTTTCACTTGTTGAAGGGAAAAGTGCTGCAATACAAACCATTGGTTTGACCCAACTTTGTTATACTTCATCTTGCATATTAAATACTCGTATATCGTGTGAAATGGAATGTTCATTTTACAAATCAGCCATGTATAAAAAAGTTAAATGAAAATTTAAATAAATTTCTAAAAAAAAAAGGATATTTTTATATTTTATTAAATTCACTTTTTTCAATTTTAATCATTGATCAACAATCTTTCTCTGATTATCGCTATCTTCAAAAACTATGACATAATTCCCGTAATGACTAATAAGCTTTCCCAAATTTACAATTTTAAGTGCTTCAATTTAAAAAATTTCAAAAACTCAATTCCTTAGTTAAATTATTGCTACTCATTTTGAGTGTTTCCCTAATTGTTCATACTATACAAAAAATGTAATTTACAAAAAAACTTTTAATGTCTTAACATTTTACAAGATGTAAGCCAAACATACATGTACACATGTATACATATTCATATTGCATGTATTAAGTGTTATATACTTGTACTTTTAGTCTTTAAAATTTCGAAAATTTTTGTAAAATTTAAAATGAAATCAAAAAATTTCATTATTATAAAAAACAACAAATCTAATAAAAACAATTAATATTAAATTTTATTTAAATTTACTTTACATAAAATTTAAATTTTTACAAATTGCTGTTGTTATTTGGTTTTGTTTTGTTTTTTTTTTTGGAAATCTTACCGGAAATTTAAAATATGTTAATATAATTACATAATATTTCATTAGTTTCCTATTTATTATAAATTTATACGTATACAAGAAAGGATAACACAAGCATAATGTTATGTATAGACTTAGAAAGTAACAGTATAGTTATGTAAAATTTTTGAAACAATAACCATTATGATTAATATAATAAATATGATAAATAGTTAAAATGTTATACATTTTACAAAATAAAAGAAGAAAAAAAAAAATCAAAATTTTAGAAGAGCCTATACAATTATTCTTAATTGTTATAATGAAAAATACAAATATTATATACGTTGTATTATGCCTAAGTATGTATTGTATATGGGTTCTCATATTGATAATTTTAAAATGTTATACGCATGATATATACAAACATATATATGTATATAAAATTACGTTGTTTAATATATAAACAAAATTGTAGTAGATGGTTAATATGTATGTAAGTATGTAAGTTTTAAATGTCGTTTCGAATGTAGTACAGATATACGAGTATTCTGTTATATACACAAACATGTGTATTATTATTTCTTCAAAATATTTCCTTTAAAAATAAAGGATAAAAGACAAATCTATATAGATAAAGATCTCTTTTTGGATCCTGAATTATAAAAAGTTCGTCTTTTATGAACCAACAAAAAAAAAACTAAAACATTATATAATAAGAATAAAATAAAATAAATTTTTGTTTTTTATTTATTTATTTATTTTTTTTTTGGGAAATTCTTTCTTCAATTGCTGCTTTTATATACGTGTATGTAATTAACCAAACAATAGGATTCAAATTTCAAAAGATGTCATCGTATTGTCTTCTATCTTTTTACATTTTGAATTGAATGAAAATTTTTTTAACCAAAATCATTTTTATATTGATATTGATAAAAATACAAGGTGTTTAATTTTATTATACCTGATTATTAATTTGTTAGACAAAATTTTGGTTGATATTTCGAGATTTGTATTTATATTAAAAGAACTTTTATCATGGAATAAAATAGGACTTTCAAAATAAGATTTAAGAAGGCTGAGAAACGGAAGGTGAATAAATTGTCATTAATAATGGCAGTATCTTGGGTCTTGCTAATCGTTAATTTTAAGGTTTTCTCATTATTTTGTCTAATTATGTATGTGATTGTTTTATAAACACTGTTAAAAATAAATGTATAATAATTTTTCTTGTATTTCGATAGGAATCTTAAAAGTTGAAATTAATATCGTATTTTAAAAGTTTCAAAAAATATTCAAAAATTTCTCAAGGAAAATCGTAATTTTTTGATTTGAAAATGATTGTCATTCTCTTGAAAAGTAGTTCCTCTTAAAAACAAGGCTTATATCTTAAGCTTAATTGTGTTGATTCATTAATAAATTAATGATTGTATTATGCTAGAACCGACCCGAATTTTTCTAATCAAAACGGTCCCAATTTTTCTAATTTCTAAACTATAGAAAAATTGGATTTTTTTTTTATTTGGAAATTACTTAATGCGAGTGATTATACATTTACTATCAGAAATTTTGTATAACAACAAAGGAACACTCAGTCACTATTACTGATACGTGTATATGAATGTGTGAGCAAATTCGCATATTATTATTATTTTTTATATGAATGATATTTTTTTTTTTTGTGTTTTGATGATCCTTTTTCTTTGCAAGGATATTAGATTAAAATAATTTCATACTAAAATGAATGAGAATTTTTATATTATATAACATGTATGTATGTAGATACGCATAATATTTTATATATGTATACATATATTTTTGGAAATGTTTTTGAAAATGAGAATTGGAAAAGTTTCAATCTTCAAAGAATTAAATATCATCAGAAAAGTTTTGTGTTTTTTTTTTCTTAAATTTTGTGTTTTTTTTTTATAATAACCGAAATGAATATTTCAAAACCAGAAATTATTTACTTTTTATTTTTCTCTTTTAATTTTATGTATAATAGATTTGTACTTTAATAGAAGAATAATATTTTCTTTTTTGATGATGTACGAATGAATAGCTATATTATTAAATAAATGTGTAAAGAAATATTTCCATTTCTAACAAAAATTTTAAATTGTTATTAACAAAAAAAAAAAATTTCTGTTCTTTATATTTCACACTTTGTAGGTGCTCTGCAGCTGTTTAAATTCAAGGAAAGAAGATGGATTATTAATTTTACTTGACCATGTTAATTAAAATTTTAAAAAATATTAAAAGTAGTCTATAGTAGTCTATAATAGTCTATATTCAATTGTATAGTAAATCGGAAAATTAAAGGCATGATTTTGTGTTTGGCCTTTATTACCCTTCCAATGGGAGAAAGTGAGTGAGTAGCGTATGTTGGTATAAATTGTAATTTTTAAGTGAGAAGAATTTTTGCTTTCGTATTCCGTACCTCATTTGTTCGAAAATCTATAAAAGATTCGATTTTGGAAATTTCTTTGAAACAAAATGAGAAAATTTAAGTAATATTTAAATATGAGTAATATTTGGAAAAATGAATAATCTTATATTGGAAAATGGTTGTAAAAATCAAATAGTACATTTGTTCAAAATTGACGTAGTAAGCATTTGGGCGATTTATACATTACAGTAACAACATGGATACAACTAGGATATGAGGTACCTAGATAAAAAAAAAACTTCTTTAAATTATATTATTTTTCCGATCCCTTTAATTTTCTTACAAAATCTCCCTCTTTATGAGGAATTTCGGTATACTCTATGAGTGCAATAAAATTTGTGAATTTTGCACACAATTTTAGTACAATTTTGCCTCCATAATAAGAATATTTTTATGAATGTTTCTGAATTGAATAAGTGCAATTTTTGTCTTATTTTGGTTTATTTTTATTTGATTGAAAATTGCTCTCGAAAAATGTTGGTGATTATTCTTGTAATTTTTTTTTTATTTAGTAAAGAAAAAGAAGATCGAGAAATATTGACAGAAGAAATAAGATCAGGGTTACATGCGATGCTGAAAAATAATCGATTTGAGTCAACCGGGTTTTTCTGAAATTCTATTGGATTTTTTTAAAAAAATTTTTAGAGCTCAAGAGGTTTTGAAGAGGTTTGGAATGTGAAAAGCTGGATAACGTTAGAAATCTCTATTAGTACAACGAAATGTTCAGTTCCTTGTCTCTTCCCCTTATTCAGGTTCAACTGTATTATAGTGAATTTTGACAAAGTTTTTTTAAAAATATAAGGTTTTGTTGAAAAGTTCAAAGAATTTCCATTAATTTTTGAAATTTCCAACTATTTTTTATAAATATTTTATTTCTTAATTAGCTATACAGATTAAACAAACATTAAATTTAAAAAAAAAAAATGGAAAATATAAAAAATGAATTAAAACTAGAACGTATTTTATTGTGAGAGTACAAAAATTTTATATTTATAACATTTTTATTTGTTTTTCAATTCATAGTGTTGAACACAGGAATAAAGTTACGATTATAGTAATCGATTTAATTGAAATCCTTATTGACTAAATTTTGCAATTGTGTGGTTCGTGTCGGTGTTACAAAATGCGGTACAGATATACTTGAATTAAGATTTTTAATTTTTTAGTTTTAGAACACAAAAATGACTTATTTTTTATTTTAAATTTGTTTTTCATTCGAAATTTCCATTTTATTTTATTTAATTTTTAATAATTTTAATTAATTGTTAACGAGCAATTGATTTATTAATTAATTATTACTTATATGTATGTGTTTTATTTTAATATTTTGCACTTAATTATAAATATAATATTATGTACGTGTGTGGGTGTGTTTTTTCTTTGTATTAATATTTTTTATTAAGTGTTAAATTATAAATTTGTTGTGCGATAACTGATAATTCTACATCGATTGGTTTTGTATCATCATATAATGATGGTGCTTCACATAATATTGCAAATGTACCAACTATTGAAGCAATTGTAAATAACCATAAAAATAAACGATCCAATACCATGGCAACAAAACCCCAATCTTGATCTTCCTGTAAAATGAAAATAAAATGAAAACAATTAAAATTTATTATTAGTTAACATTTTTAATTATAAGATAATTATTTATTTTAGTACAGGATCAGAAATTACAGAATAGATGTGAAACTAAAAAGTTTTCGATATGCTATGTAATTAGGAGTTGCGATTATTGCTGTCTAATAAGGAGTTGCAACGGATTTTTAAGGGCCTCAAACTCAAAGGACATTCGAGTAAATGAGATCATATATAGTGCCTATGGAATATACAAACCGACTTAAAAACAACATACAGAAAAGAGAGGACTATGGGCTTAATAGGACTTGGATTGTATATTTTCAACTCGATTTCAAATATAATTTTAATTTTTACATCTGTCAACTTATTTTTGAATCTGTTAACATTTGTTTAATTTTATTTGTAATTAAACAAACCCCACCGAAAATGATGTTTTTTGACTGTATACAATGAAAATTTCTTCATACAAATGCTGAAGCGTAAAGTAGCCAAAGAAATGAGTCAAGGCAAATCAAAAAATTTTTTTCCTTGAACTGGTCTCGAATCAGTGACCTACTGGTTTTTACACACTGAGCTATAAGGGTATAAAGAAATTATCGGCAATTTTTTAATTTTTCTGCCTTGACAACGTCATTCATCTTCGTCACGTTGTCCTAATTTACAATACCAAATAAAATTATTTAGAATTTCAATTTGTCAATATTGAAATAAAAAAGTCATCGGTAGTATGCCGAATTTTGTAACGTTAGTGTGTAGTTAAAAACAATAAAGACTCTTTTGGGAAAAGAAACACAACAAACTGTACTTGCATTCAATTGAAAGTTTCTTGTAGAAGTAAACTTTTCTTTAATAATAAACAATTATTCAAAATTTTCAAATTATTTTTTTGAAAGTAAAAGTTAATTTGTTATTCAAGTTTTTTATTTTATTTGTTTAGCATTAAGCCTAATCAAATTTAAATAAAAATTCCTACTGCTTCAGAAATATTAAACAAAAACAAAATTACTTGTTAATCACTATGTAATCTTAATTTTATTGTATATACTTGCTTAAATAATAAATTTCTAATAATTACAAAATTTAATGAAAATTCTATATAGATAATGCAATATCATCAGCATTCAAATTTAATAGTATTTTACTTAAAACAAAATGATATAATTAATCATTATTTAAATTAATTTTCAATTTTAATCCTTTTAATTATAATTTCTATTCTCGGTACGAGTATAACGCTAGTATGTCTAAACTATGTGTGTATATTTTTTAATCTTTAATAAAGTATTTATCATCGTATTGTCATTAATTTTTATTTCATTTATTTTCTAATATAATATTATATGTATGTATGTATATAAAAAAAACTAAATTATAATTTATAATTGATAAAATTATATACCTATAGTTTATTGACTTCTTATCTCTTTTCAAATTAATTCGACCATAACACAGATACATTGTTAAATTTTAAAGTATAATATATATGTATATATTATAACAAAGTATATATTTATATAAACTTGAATAGGAAAATCTATATATAATTCATATATAATTTTGCTCATTAATACCCTAATGAATTTTCAAATCATGTCTATGTATATTCGTATGTTGTTCTATAATCTAAACTGAACTCAATTTCAATATCTGTAAAATAAATTTTAATTTTGTATTTTTTATTTTTTGGAACGAAAAAATCTTAGTTAAATAATAATAGTTACTAATACTATATATACAGAATAATATTCATAACCTTCGAAAATTAAAATAGAACAAATAAAAAAAAAAAACAATAAAAACCAAACAACTTTGAAATTTTTTTATTTTCTAATCTCATGTGAAATTTTGTTTTTTTTTTTAATCCCATGATTGTAATAAACTTGCCCGTATATTAATGTAATGGCATCTGACACATAATATTTTTAATGTATGTATGTGTGTTTGAGAAATAGAGACTTCTTATATAATATTGTTTAATATGTTATACATGTAGAATGTAGAAAATCTAAGCTTTAGTTTTAGTGAATATTCGATTTTTTCTTTTAATGTTAAAAGTGGTTTTTGGAAATACATATGTATGTATATATATATATATATATATTGCATAATAATTGTAATTTATATTGGTTGTTAGTGTTATATTGAGTTTACTATAGTGATATTGTGAATTTAATTTATTAATATATTTAAAAGCAGAATCTGAAGTAAATTACAATTTTAAATCTGAAATCCAAGGTAAATTACAATTTCATTCAATTTAAGTTTGATATAAGCCAGTAAATGTAAATTACATAATGCAATTGTAATGGAAATCGCAATCTTTCTTAAATTTTTGATTATGTTATTCCAATTGTAATTGGAATGATTGCTTATTTGGAAATCATACCAATTATGTAAATGCCTGATATTTTGGAGCAAGGATATTATTATTATTATTTTGCGAGTCTATTTATAAAATTGGAATTTAAGATCCTCCAAAAATGTGTTTAAATACTGTTTTGTACAATAAATTTTCACCTGTTTTACCTTATACTATGTATATGTATATCTATACATTTTTACCCTTAATCTATCTACGTAATTTACACAACAACATTCATGTTCACTATCGTTAAATTATTTTTTTTTTACGTTTTTTTATTGCATAAATATTAAATTGCTTTTATGCCCTGTTACATATATTTAAGCTTGATTTGTTCTTATTCTATTCTTTTTTTTTGTTTTGTTTCCGAATCTATTTTAAATTATAATATTATATAATACAATGTTATGTTTATTACAAGTACATTACTAGCAATTGTATTATAGAAAAATGTATAACATTTTTATATTACTTATTGTCATTTTTTTTTTTTATTATTTTATTATATTTGTCCGCAAGGACATTTATATAGATATATACAATATACATTACCATTGTAATATACATTGTATATATGTGTATGTACATAGGTATACATACATTACATTAAATATAATATAATATTATTCCCCTTTATTAGAACAAATGCTTAGCTCTTAAAATCAAGTTTAAGTTTATTTGAAAATCATCTATGCTTTTTAAATTTATGAAAAAACAAAAAAATATTTTTTTTTTTCTATTCACTTAGTTGTTTTTATTTTCGTGTTTTTCTTTTGCTATATTTTTTTTTGTTTTTCGTTTCTTTTCTTCGCTCCATTGTTTAGTTTTTTATCTTTTTCAATTTCGAGTTAAGTAAAAATAAAAGAAACAGAAAAAAAAAAATGTTGAAAATGAGAACAAATTTCATGTTAACCATATAATATTGTTACAGAAAAAAATTGCATATATACAGGCTCATATAAAAGCATCAAATGTAAGTATATGTGTAATAAAAAATAAAAATGAAGCAAAAAAACAATATATATACGAAAGATGAGAAGAGAAATTATTTTCTAGTCACGTATTTCACTCTCTGTAACATAAACGTCCCGTTTTTTCATTATAAAAATAATGAAAATGAAAATTAAAACAAAAACAGAAAACAACAAACAGAAGATAAAATAGAAATGATAAAACAAACATAAATTGAGAAGAGAAAAACTAACATTGAAAACGGTATAAAACCAAAAAAAAAACACAAAACACAAAATAAAATAAAAATTGAAAAAAAGTAAAAAAAAAAAAGGATAATAAGGATATACAGTTCTCTTGAAACATGCACGATTTATTTTTGCTGCCCATCTGCTACTTTTCTCTTTAACTTTTATTTATACACGTAAGTGATCTTCATACATTTTATATAATATGCATAATATAAGTATATACCATAAATATTATGCATATATATACAATCAATAATGTGTATGTATATGTATATATGATGAGATATTTTTATAGTATGAATTTAAAGAATACCACTGTTATTCCATCCATTATTCAACTATAATAATTCTTTATATACGAGTACTCTTCCCGCCAAACTGATTTTATATTTAATTTTTTTTTTCTACTTTATTTTTTGAATTAATTCTAAGTGTTATTTTAAATGAGCATAATACATTTAATTTTATTATTGTTTATTTTTTCTAATATATTCTAATTTTAAATAAAGAAAATATTTTTCGAATTTTCCAAAATTTATTTAGATATTTTAGACAAAATTCTTGTACCATTTGCGAGAATCTCCTTAAAAATTTCTTATTTATTTTTATGAATTTCTTTTTATGTTTTATTTTTAACTATGCTTGTGCTTATCATTTGTTCACTTAATTAATAATATATTAATAATTTATTAATATTAAAAGGTAATTTATTTAAAAAATTTTCAAATCATTTGTGTCAATTTACAATTATTATATAGTTACTGTTATACAGATCATACATATATATATATATACATAGGGGAGATATAAAGTGTTCTAAACTTTAAAAACTTTTCATATTAGAATTGTGAAAATGAAATAATCAACAATATCTAATATACTAAGTTTTCAATTACATTGTAAAAATTATGATTTAAAACAATTATAAACTGTATATTAAGTGAATTTTACCATCCTCTGGTATTGCAATAAAGAAAGTATAAAAATTATATCACAATTTATAAGATTAGAATCATGATAGTTTTCTGCTATATCGAAATTAGTAATTTTTTTATATAACAAAATATAATAAAATTAAAAAAATTCTATGGCTAAAATTTAGTCACAGTGAATAAAATGTTACAATTATATATGTATATAATCAGGCGCGGTTCTGATGTATTCGTCGCCCTAAGCGGTTCCTAAAAAGTGCGCCCCCCCCCTCCCCCTTCAACCTTTTCACCTATTTTATTACTGTGAACAAAATTTAATAGGCATTGCACATTGTGCATCATAAAGCAGTTTCTTGTAACCTTATTGTGCTGAATTATAGAATTAAAGTCTGGAACTAAACTTTCAATTTTTTGTTTTATAAATTCAAAAACAAGGTAATTTATTTAACTGTACGTTTTTTTATGAAGTTATGATCAGATTTATATCAATCACTTAAACTTGATTTTTTGATTTTAACAACCAAAAAATTTACTTTTTGACGTAAGTGAAACTTATTGTAAAAGGTTCTATGAAAATTATATCAAATGAACTTTTTCAAAGCTTATTTGAATATGAAAAAAAGTAAAAAATTATTTTTATTTTTATTCGTAATTTTATTTTTATTCTTATAATTATTTTTATTTTTATTCGTAAAATTTATGAATTTATTGCGTATTTCATTTAGTCTTATTTTTTGGATGACTTACACTACATCAATTCAGCATAAAAATTCTTAACATTCACTTGATTATTAAACAACATTTTTTCAATTCAATATAAGTAGTAGATTTTATCAATTAAAATTTAATTCTGTGATTGATAACAGTTTTTTCAAAAACGAAAGCAGAACATAGTAGTAGAAATTCATAACGATCATGTAATTTTAAAATTCATTCAAAATTTTTTGTTGTTAAACAAAAACAAAATATTGGTATACACAATCTCAATATCAAGCTATGCTTTCCATCATTTAAGAATATTGCTCTCATTCTCTTTTTAGCACTTTTCCAAAAAATTTTTTGAAAAAAGTGCTTATTAGTTTCACTCTGTCCGTCCGTCCGTCCGTCCGTCCGTCCGTCCGTCCGTCCGTCCGTCCGTCCGTCCGTCCGTCCGTCTGTCCGTGTGTCTGTTTACAAAACTTCTACACCCTTGAAGATAGAAAGCTGAAATTTAATACGTACATAGATCTTTACTAGAAACTTATTTCCGTAGAACAAAATTTTTACCTATCTCCCCCCCTCTAGAAGTTATACCCCCCCAAAACCCTAAAAATGGCCTTTTTTAAATATTTGTTGCAATGAAACCATAAGCATTTTTGAAATTTTGCAAACGCAGAAAGGCAGTGGCTTGCTTCCCCTAGCGCGATATACTATATTTAAACTTTAGAAAAACAAAATGGCCGTTCAAATTTACCGTTATCTAAAGTCCTTTTTTTCCAAATTTTTGATGTCATTTTTCTTCTAGACCCCAGCCTGTAGAAGCTTGAAATTTTAGGAGCTTTTAGACATTAACAAATAGTTCATTTCGTTAGAAGAAAATTTTTTTCCATCTCCACCCCCTCTCAAGTTATCACCTCTTGAAATTTGTAAAATTTGAATTTTTGACACCTTATATTTCCGAAACCGCAAGCTTTTCCAAATTTTTATAAACGCAAAAAGCTAACGGTAAATTCCATGAAATTAAAAAATATAATTATTTCTCTTAACTCACACAATTAACCCTTAAAATCGAGCATTATGTTAACCCCTTTTTATATTAATTTTTGCTTTATTTCAAACACTGCATGAATGCATCATCCTAAATATATGCAATTCTAGAAATAGTTTTGTAAATGAATGAAAATAATTTTAATAGTTTGATAGGTATACATAGACTGTATTTAAAAGCAGAATTTTCACTTGTTGAAGGGAAAAGTGCTACAATACAAACCATTGGTTTGACCCAACTTTATTCTAATTTCTTTCTATTCTCATTCTTAATTTGTGTTTTTTTTGTTTTGTTCTTGTTGTTTACTAATGCAATAGTATACAGAAAAGTAATACATTATAATAATGTGTTTGTTTGTTTGGTGAGTGGGCGCCAACTAAGCAAAAATAAAATTTTGCATGTATGAAACAATTTAAATATAATGTGTACGAACGAGTGTAGCCACTAAGCATAATAAAAACATTGCTTTGTGATATAATTATATGTGTACGAGCGAGTGTTGATAGGGAGCAATCTCAGCAAAATAAAAATTTTGCTTTATGAGATAATTATATGTGTACGCATGAGTGTTGATCTTATTCATATTAGACAATATAAATTATGTGTACATGTGTATTTTTGAATATTTTTATTTGTTGCGTACATTGCTTCTATATATGTATGTATATTATATGAGACGATTTCACTTATATATATGAACGTTTGAATGTATACAGCTGTGTGAAATAATATTCTGTGTTTATAGGCATATACAGTACATAAAAAATAAGAATGAAAGAGTAGTGTAGAGTAAAGAAATGTATGAGTAATTTTAATTCTATGAACATTTTTTGTTATATGGTGCAAATAGAAAATATGTGTAGGAACAAAATATTATGTTTGCATGTAGGTAGATTTTATTAAGTTAATTTCGCTACAAATTGATGTATAAAAAAAAACTTGGAATCCTTTTTTTTGGGTGAAAATTTTTTTTTTTAAATTTAGGGGTTTTTTAAGTTTTCAATGGCGCCCCTATTTTTTATCGCCCATTGCAAATGCATACTTTGCATGTATGATAAATCCGGGGCTGTATATAATCTTATGCATACGAGTATAATATTCATCGATGCGTCGTTTTCACCTACATGAGTCTGTATGAAAATATGATTATTTTTCACAAATGAATGCGATGAATTTGGTTGTGGTTTATGATAAAATATTTAATATGGTTTTTGAGTAGTATTCTGCTACTAAATGAACGATTACTTTAGCAATAAATGTTAAATTTAAAATAACAAAAAGCAAATTCATAGAACTTCAAATATATGTACATACTACACTACAGCAAACAAAATTATTTCTCTTCGTTTAAAAAAATAAACTATATGAAGAGAATAATTGATTTTGAAATAGTTTTTCATAAATTTTGATATACTTTCATTCCAATTGATGTAAAAATATGTTTGAAATTACAATATAGTTTAAAAAATTGTACTTAGATAATTGAATTCATAGAAGTTATGAGTGAAATTATAAGAGATTACTTTAAAAATCATCCACTAGTAATAAGTAGAATGGCCCTTAATTATCACATATGGCGAAGCGGAACAAAAAATGTCATTTTAAATATAGAGAATAAATTATTGATGAAGAATTAAAGGAATGGTTATTTTACATCTAGAAGAATTTTTCTTAAGTTAAATGAAGCAAAATGTGGGAATAAAATACAAAAAATTATTTAAAATTTTTTAAAAGCAATTCATTCATTGTAAAAGAATCAAAACCCTACACATATAATATTGTTAAAATTTCTCTTCTTGAGCACTTGTATTATATCAAGACTCTCGTCTTGCACAAAAAAGCAATTTAAAATACCATAATATATCTCTATAACAAAAAAAAAAAAACGAAAATAAATAAAATGTTTGGCATAATAGCAAATTGTAAATATACAAGACTAAACCCACACATATGCACATATCCTCATTTTTTGTATAACGAATGTATAAACATTGTGATTACACACAAATTTTTTAATTTATTTCTTAAATATATCTTACATTTATGCATACATATGTACATACATATGTGCATATATATTTTATCATTTATATATAAATTTATAATAAAATGAATATGGATAAGTACCGCATTAAATTCATCCTGACGTTGCATATGATGTTGTATGAACATAACATTATGTATTGCTTTTTCCAATTCAAAAGGATATTTTTTACGTCCAACATCACTCAAGGATTCATCTAATCCAGATAAAACAGATGGTAGTCCATTATAACCACTCATTGCACCTAATCCGCTACCTAATGCACCAACCAGTCCACTAAATCTATTTATATAGGAAAAACAAAAAGCAAAAAAAAATTAAGAAGAAAAAAATATAAATGGGAAATGCACAAACAAACAAGGATAAAAAAAAAAAATTATTAGAAATTAAAAAGATATAAGGGAGGAAAAAAAAAGTAAATTAAATGGAAACGAGAAAGAGATAGAAAGATTTATTTTATTATTATTATTTTTATTTTATTTTTTTTAATACTTAAAATGTTTACATAACTCTTCTTCTACTCAAGATTGTGATAATTTATTTTGTGGAATTTTCTAAATTTACCAAAAAAAAAAAATTTTTTTTTTATTTTTTCTAAAGATTTTTTATTTTTTTATTATTTTTTTATAATAAAACACGAAAAAAGTAAACATTCAGCTAAAAAGTTTTATTACCTTGGTATTAAGTATTACAGATTAATTGAAGGAAAAGGAAATTATTATGAAGGATCCGTTTTTTTTTTTAATTTTTATTTTTGCTTGTTACGTTGGCTCAAAAAAAAAATCATTTTCTTATATTTAAGTACATGAATTTTGTTTTTTTTTTTTGGTGTTTTATTAAAATTTTGTTGTTTTCGTTCTGCGCCCTCAATTGGACTGGATAATAATATCCAGCCTTAGCCTTTTGAAATGGGTTTTATATCCCTTGGTTACCTTTTTCTTATTATCTTTTTTTTTCGTTTTTCTTTTTTTTTTTTTTTGGAATATTGTAATTAATTTTAAAGACAATTTTTAAAGTATGTATAGATGTAAAAGTTACAAAGTAACTTTATCTGCTGTGTTATAAAATTTTATTTTTTTTTATTTTTAGGGAAAAAACCGTACTTGAAGTATTGTTGAAGTGAGCTGGGTTAAGAAATAGTTTGCATACTGTTGATATTGGTGGTTAAATTTTCTTAAAGTGAGTTGTTTTGTTTAAAATTTTTCTGTTTTTTTTTTGTTTTTTAGTAAATTGAAAATTTTAATCATAATTTAAAATAAATAAATTTGATTTGCTTTATTGTCATGAATTTTTGTAAATCAGATGAATTTTTTTTAATTTTAATTTAATTTTTCAAATTGGAAGCAATTAAGAAAATCAAATTTACTTTTGAAACGTTGACTTAAATGTTTAAAGTTATTATAATGTAAAATAAAATGCAAATTGAAAAAATATAAAAAATATGAACTACGAGTATTTTGGAAAATATTATCTATAGCGGTAAAATTTATGTGACCAATCTTTCTTTCCAAATTTTAATTTTCATTAAAATTATTCTTAAATATAAAAACAATAAATTAATTTAAATAAATATTAATTACCTATTTGTTGCAGTTGTTGAATGCATACCATTACAGCCACCACGTCCTTGCATTCTACGTATTGAATCTGGACTTGATGCACCACTATTTAATTGCATTTCAGCAACTAATGCTTGACCAAATTTTGAACTATTAATTTTTTTACCATAATTTATTTTACTTGCTGCTAAATCTCTTAATAAATCTTTTGGTACACGCATCAATAATAATTTTGGTAAACGTTTTATGAAAAATTTTCTTACCCATGGTGCCATTTTATGGGTACTCGGTTTACGATAATGTATATTTAATATTATAATTGTTATTAGAACACTTAAACCAACCAGTAACATTGTAAATAAAAGGTATTTACCTAATAAAGGTAATGCTAATGACGTAGATGGTATAATTTCCGATATCAATAAAAAGAACATTGTCTGTGACAACAGGATACTAATACATAAAGCAATTTTTTCACCGGAATCAGCTGGTAAATAAAATACTAAAACTGATAGATATGATATACCAACACATGGTATAATTAAATTAACGGTATAAAAAAGTGTTTTACGACGTAATGTGATGTTGAAAAATATATCTAAAAATATATAATGAAGAGAAAACAAGAACAAGAAAAAAAGAGAAAAAGAACAATAAGATATTAATAAAATGAGAGGGAAAAAAATAAATGAGAAAGTGAAAAAGGAATAAAAATACAAAAACAAAAAGGATAAAGTAAATAATTTTTTTTTTTTTTATTTTTGCGTTTTTTTTTTAATTTAATTTTTTTGCATACCATTTTAAGATAATTAAAGATAATTATTTTTATACGATTTCATGTTAAAAAATATGATGAACGATTCATTTTCTTGTAAAATAATTAAATAAGTTAATCAAAAAATTTTATTTGTGTTGAGTATGTGTGTGTGTGTTTTTTTTTAATATTCTTATAAGAAATAATCTTATATGTTTTTCATATTTTGGGCAATTTAAAAATGTTGAAAGTAATTTGGTATTTTGCAACCAGAGTTAGAATTAATTTAGAAACTAAGAGGAATGATTTGAATCACTAATATCAGTAGTATTTAGAATTTAATTTAGTCAAATTTATTCCAAATTGATTTCATATTCTACTATGAATGAGCCTCTTTGTACTATGAATGAACCCCATATCAGTAAATTAACTCTTAAATTTAATCAGTGCTATGATTTTGGAAAGATGTTGGAGAAGAATTAATTTCATTTCAAAAATTGATTTTAGTCTTACCAAATGTACGAATTATTTGAGTTTAAAAATATAATTGTGGTAATTGTTCTGTTTATGTACTCTAGAAGATATAGAAATTATAGATTGCAATTAAAAATTTTTTATTCTACATGAATTTGTTTAGCTTAGCCATTTTATTCCAAGATATTCTCATGAGTTCTTAAACACACGTTGTCTTACTAGCATTATCATTATCTCAATAGTTCAGAAAAAAAATAATTATACTGTTTCGAATAAATATTATACACAATAATTTGTTTTTTATAAAAATAATTTTGAAAATTTTAAAGGTATTTATTTAGCTTAGCCATGTTATACGTTTTAAGGATTTTAGATGAATATTATGAGAACCAATGATCTTAATCTAATTTTATTAAAATCGTGAAAAATATTCATAAACTAGAATTTTTTTTTTGGATTTACCATATATTTTCTACCCCATACATGTTCATACCATATAATATATTGTCGCATCTGAAGTAAATATTAATTTTTCTAAAGGAATTATTGATATGAAAATATTTTGACTTAGAAAATTTTTTTATTAAAAAAATAAAGGAAAAAAAAAATAATCAAAATAACAAAAGAAAAATTTCCTTTTTTTTTGTTTACATTTTCGGAAATTTTAATTTAAAAATTTTTTAAATTACTTACCTGGATATGGTTCTGCACAACATGGATAATATTTTTCATGTCTTTCAGCTGGAACACCTAATATATCCCATTCAACACTAGGATAATATTCACGTAAGTCAATACCAATTTCAACTTTATTATCTTTATCATTCTTTTGATTGATGTGCTTTAAATCGATCTGGTGTAATATAAAAAAAAAAAAATAACAAGGAAAAACATTATTCAGTAATTTATTTCCACCACAATTATTTATGTAATCGATTCATTTTTTTTTTTGGATATGTAATTGTAGTTTTTCACATTATATATTTATAAAATACATGTATACATATTTAATTTTTTGGGTTAAATTCGCGGCATATTCACATATAATGTTGTTAAAAATATTAATTAGTGTTTTCTTTAATTTGGTTTTAAAAAGGAATTTAATCAAAAATTCCACATATTATTTTGGTAAGTTCTACTCGTACATCAAATAGAACGTATTGCTGTACGGATTTTATTTATTGTGTGGTTTCGCTTAATGCTATAGTGTATTTAGTTGAATTGTGTTTCATAAAACAAATTAAAAACGTATGTGTAAAGGTTGTTAGCATGTGTAAATATAAAGGTAGCTAGCATAATTTTTTCTTTAAATTTAAAACTTGTAAAATGTGATTGCCTTACGGTAATAATTTTAATATTTTCTGAATATTTACTGGAATAAGTTAAAAATGATTTAATTCTCTTAAGTAAAACCAATATTATATTCTTAGAAAATGTGATTTTTTTTCTGTTCTCCAAAAATGTAACATTATGAGGCGCTTGTGAAAATGTGAAAGTTTCTTTTAATAATTGTTATGGAATTCTGATTTATACATGAAATGTTTATAACATTTCATATATAAGGGCCTCAGAAGCAGAGTGGCGTAAGCCACAAATAAAAAAAAATTTTTTTTTTTCCTGCAATCGGTTATGTACATCTTCTAAAATCAGTAATGTTAATTTCCAGTTTCGAAATAGCTTTTTTCCTATTTATTTTTCACAAACGTACTTTTGGTTTTGTAAAAATTTTCTGATTTTGTAAAAATTTTGTGATTTTTCAAAAGCAAAGTGGCATAATCCACATTGTGGTTTACGCCACTCTGCTTCTGAGCCCCTCATATATCATTTAAAATGCACATTTCCTTCGAAAATTTTATACCCTTTTAGAGGTTTAAATAATCTCTCATTATTTCCAGGTAATTTTGCATACGTCTCGGATAAACATTGATTATTTTAAGATTTAACCAGAAATACTAGAACTAAATATTTAACTAATTTAGTTAGAAATAAACAATTTCTGAATGGAAATAAATATTTCGTAAAAAACTGTAGGCTTTAGATTTTCCTACAGGTGCATGACAATGAAATTTAAACTTATCTGTCTCAAATTTAATTATCTATGACTGTTGGTTTTTTGATTTACAACTAAAATTAAACATAAAAAATTTTATTGAATAAATAAGAAAAATGTTGATTGAGGTTATACACCAAACGGCAAATATGTTTACATTTATTATGCTTACATTCATAGGTATATGTTTATGTTATGTATAATCAAATATATACTCATTATTGAATTATATTTATTTTGTATATACAATTGTTAAATATCAAATATATACATGTATTTATATACCTGATCTCCATCATATGTCCAAGAGCCAAATTTCATAAAACATGTTTGTTGATCAAATGGAAAATATCGTACATCAATTTCACATGATGATTTGAAAATTGCAGGTGGTGTCCATACAACTTTACCCGTATAATGTAAAATTGCTTTGGTTAATGTGGTAACAACATATTCGCCATCAGCACTACAAATTAAATAATATTTTTGGTAAAAAAAAATTAAAATAAAATACAATGTAATTGTATAAATATTTATAAATTAATAATGTCCTCATATATAGATATTTTGATTGACTATATAACAAAATTCGTATAAATTTTGGATTTATTTGTGTTTTTTGAATAAGTCAAACCTAAATATAATTTATGTACTTATATATTTTGGTTATTTTATGTTTATTATCTAGTTATATAGAAAAATATTTATTATAGAGTGTTACGACAATTTCATATCTTCACCGACTAGTTTATTTGGGGGAAAAAAAAAATGGTGGAAACCAATAAAAAATTTCGATACCTTAGTAAAGTTCATTAAAAGAAAAAACAGCAAACTGCTACAGCAGTTTTCTTGAAAATAGAAGAAAAACGTGAAATCGAGGCAGCCGAATTTAAAATACTGATTCGCACAGCCAGGCTGACACACAGACAAACGGACAAACCAAAAGACCGATAAACATCCTTCTAAAGATAGTATATTCACGCTGCCCTGCTAAGGAGAAGCGATTTTCCACTAAAAGCTCGGCATGTTATTTTTAGTGTACATTGTCATATATTTTACAAATCCTACTTGCATTTACTATACGGATATCATAAGTTGACACTCTGTACTTATTGTCATTTTATTTATTTATCTATATTCGTTCATATTAATATATTTACATACACATTCTTGATACTGAAAATTAACGTGGCTATTTTGTGATAATTTTTGTTTTTTTTTTGTAAGAGAAGTACAAGAGCATAAAAAATATCTCTTGTAAGAAAAACCAAAAAATTTCTTCCGAAAAATATTTTCATTTTATGTTCAAGATACAAATCATTGATAGTAAATTAAGAAAAATATTGTACATAATATAAAAGAAAAATTTATCCACTTAATCTATATGTGTAGAAAGAGAGAATAAAAAAAGAGAAGAAAACATAAAATATTTACACAAACAAAAAAGAAAAACATTTTAATAGAAATGAATGCTCACAGTTGGTAGCATCAAAGAGGAAAAATACTTAGAAAAATAAGTGAGAGTCAAAACATACACGGGAATAATGAAAATGTGTACAAGAAAAATTGCATATTTCAGGAATATTTTCCTTTTTTTTTTAAATTACCTGCCATTTTCAGATTGTGGTTTGGATTATGAATGAAGAACAGAGAAAAAAAGACAGAATAAAAAAAAAATTTATGAAAAAATTATAAAGAATTTTCATAAAAATTCTTTAAATAAATGCAAAAAAAAGAAAAAGGAAAATAAATTTTCTTTTACAAAGAAATGCCTAAATTTTATGTTTTTCTTGTTCTGCTCTGGTGTTTCTGCTTTTATTTATTTTGATAAAATAATTATATTTCTTTTTTTTTTTTTGGAAAATTATTTTGTTGGCCGTTTTTTCTATTTTTCGGTCTTTTAATATGCAGATATTTTCAATTTTTTAATTTTTTATTCAATTTAAATAATTTAAAAATTTTTTTAAAATAAAATTAAATTTTTTGTTATTTTTCATCTATTCTAAATAATTTTGTGTATGCAAACAAGGGGACCTACAAGAAAACAATTATGTTGAAAAACAAGGATTTCTTAATTTTCTTGACAAAATTTTGCAAAATTTTACAAATTTTATACAAAAGTGGAATGTGTGAATGATGCTACCTTCTAGAAAGGTTTTATAAAGAGACAAAATTAATACGGAATAGGGCCGTGATTTGTTGTCTGAGTTTAATAAAATATTATAATCTTTCAATATATAGATAACAAAAAATCAATGTCATTTTAAAAATGAAAGAAAGAGTTGTTAAAATTTTTGAAAAAATTTCGAGCACATTGAATCATTGAAAAACAATAAACTTAAACGTTTTTTAGGGAAGAGAAAATGGATAAATTGACTTCGAAAATGATTTTTAATTTGTGCTTTTTTTCTTAAATCCAGAAATTTTAATCAAATTTTATAATTTAAAAAAAATCAATGTAAAATTTTTAAATTATTAATTAAAAACTCACTTACTTGTTATATAATACAATGTCTGGTAACCAAATATGTTCAGACGGTACATATAATTCTGTAACACCACCATATTCCGATGGATCCCATTTAAATTTGTGATCTTGCCATTCCTAATATAATATTAAATTAAAAAAAAAAACTTTACGGTTTAATTCTATAAAATTACAATGACGTCATAATGGTATACTATATTCTTAAGTAGAATACATTAAAAGTAATATGGTAAATTTTTACTTACATGTTCTAACCAAACGTTAGTAGTCAAAATTTGATCTTTTAAATTCTGAAATATAAATGAAAAATATTAATGTAACTATATTATTGTAGTATATACATAAAGAAAATGTGAATTAATTTTATTATTTATTAAAATTATATTTAAGGGTCAGTACTTATTTAATTTTATAATCAGTATTTCAGATATATATTTTTTTAGCACTATTTTGCTTATTGATTTATAACAATTTGATAGATTTGTTCATTATTGTATATTTGTATATTAACCAAATATGAAGCACTACAGCTCATAAACTGCGTGTACTTCCAAAGAATTTTCACTGCTTTTTAATATGATAAGTGAATAATATTACAATTTGTGTTTCAGGAAATTATAAAATATATAAGCAGTTTAATTGCATTAAACCGGATTCAACTTGTTATCTATTACACTATAAATACATTGAAATTGGCTACAATTTCAATATTCAAAATAATCAGCTTTAATTTATAATATTTTTTGTTTAAATATGTTAGATTTTCTCTGGAGATAATCGTTCTGTTAATAAGTGAAGTGTAAAAAGCAGACAAAAAATGCATTTAGAATTTTAGTCTATGTTTGCACAACTGGTACATGCTTTCTTTTAAAAAAAATGTACTAAAAAATTGTAAGAGAATACATTTGTGTTTACATAGTCATAGAAAACATTGTGTAATTATTCACTGCATTATCTGAGTATTTTTACTATGTGCATTATAAGGCAGCTAAATTTTCTTGTTATTTTGCAATATTCTATAAAGCAAATAAATTTACATTCACCTTTACATGCAAAAAAAATTTTTTTTTTTCAAATAATATTTGAAATATTTCCATTGAATATTTGAGTAGATTAAAGATAAGGTGATGACATTTGTATGAGAGTCACAAAAATATTCCAATGAAATTCTTTTGAAAAAAGTGTAATTTTTTTAAATTTAAAAACGATTCTTAATTTATTGTAATTCGAATAAAATCAAGTCATTAAGTAAATCTAATACTTATTTAAAATGTTGAAGATTAAATATTTTATTTTTAGTGTAATAGTGTGAGTTTTAATCCTGCTTACATAATAAATATTCTAAACGTTTTAAGAGCATTAGACAATATTCGTGTTGACGACCTTGTGTTATGGGTCATATTTATGATTTTAATTTTATGAAAATTTCTATTTAATTTTTTCAAAAATTAATTCATAATTTCACAATATACTAACAATATTAAGAATTGTAGATGATTGTTATGCGATACTTGCTAAAACTAATTAGCAAATAGTATTAACCTTTATTTACACTGACTATTTGTCTGACTTTTTGTCTCTATTTAAATTTGTAATTTAATAATTAACATGCGTTCTGGCTCGTTAATTTTGATAATTGTTTAGTACACTATGAGTTTTAGTATAAAAGGTTTTGAAAGAATTTAAAAGAATTTCAAGGAGTTCAGTTTGTAAAAGTTAAAAGTTGTAATTTTACTATGATATTGGTAAAAAATTTTTTTGTTTTTAAAAATTCTAAAAGAAAAGCATATAAACTAGGTATTTTCTTTTGTGCCTTGTATATTCTAGATTAAAACAGCAATATTATTGGTGTTTACCATCGCAAGACTGGCAGCATTGCCAACACAAATACAAAATTCTACTCTGTTGAATAATGCAGTTAATTGTAAGGAATAAAGTGTTAAAGTGAGTTTTAATATTTTGTTAAAAATTTTAATTGTAATTATTTTTTAGCTGAACAACCATTTTCGAATCAAATTTCAAGTGAATCAGAAAATGTAGTCACTAATTTTGAAAATCAATTGAATCAAAACACTGAATCTGATATCGACTCCACAATAATTGATCAACTAGTAAGTAAAAATTATAAAATTATTAAATTCAATTAAATTTAAAGTTCTGTCTGTTAAATTTAAAGTTCTGTTTATATATTAAATTTAATTGATATCCTTTTCTATTATTACAGGAAGCTTTACTTGGACCAAATAATTTAGGGGACACTTTTGATAATAATGCAAATCAAATTGATATTTTGAAGAGTGATGATGATAAAATAAATTCTACTCCATTTGAAGAATTGGCACAACTTGCTTCTTGTTACGGTTATGGTTACGGTTATCCATATTATGGTTATTATGGTTATCCCTATTATTATGGCAGATAAACACATAATATAGTTTTGTAAAATATGTCAGGAAAATGAGTTGTTATTATAAATAAAGTATTCTGAGATAAAAAATTCTTATTAAAAATCAAATTATGGAGACTAGTGTTTTGCATTAAAGTAAAAGAGTAAAAGAATCAAGGTTAAAGTTTACTATATAAAAAAAGACTAAATCCAGCAAAATTAAAATCTGATTCAAATTTTGGTAAAATTAACTTTTTGGATTGCCTGACCATTGGTGAAGTTATTATGGCACCGGTACTTTAACCGACGGGCCTCGGGTTCAAACCCTGGTCAGGTCACTATAAAAATTATATTCAATATTATAGCTTAAATATTCATATATTCATAATTAATTCAATATTAAAAAACGAAGAAAAATAAACAATAAATATTAATAAGCTTAAAAATTTAATACAAAGAAAACACTACGCCAGGCTAAACCTACTTAGTTAAAAACTCTATAGCGCATTGAAACTGGGGCATTACTATCTATGATATCATGCACTAGCCCTACGCCTCTCCCAGGAGTGAAAAAACAAGAAAAAAATCTTTTTAGATGGAAGACAAGGAACTATATAGTGCGACATTTTAAAAATTTGGCTATGCATGTGTTTTTTATTTAAAAATTAAAAACTTCGAAATGGCGTCTGAGAGAAAGAGAGTAATATTATCTTTAAAAGACCTGAGTGAGAGGTTTGAAATGTTGATACCTATTCAAATTGAACGCGCCATAATAATAACTACAATTATATTGACCTCTGCCGTTCAGTTAATACAGCATCCCCCTACAAAGCGTTAAGTCACTGGTTCGAGTATAACTTATTTGTAACACCTGTTATAGTTTCATAACTATACTGACTGCAAATTTTACTTAATTATAAAATAATGAAAATTTCATTGCATAATAGTTTATTTCAATAAAGCTAAGTTAATTTAATGCATAATTAAAATTTGATAGAATTAAAAAAATTGTTTCCCAAAACAGATGCACTGCTTATTTAATTAGCTATAAAGTTTTTTTTCAAATTACACAATAAAAAACAATCCCGTTGTCATTCAAATTACACTTAACCAGCACTTAAATATTTACTTTAGAAGTCGATATAACTCAAATAGAATTAAGTGACAAGATATAAAATAAGGTTGTTTATTTAAAAAAATTTTTAGTTAATGTTGAGCTTAGTTAACTGGCGGCACATTACTCACAAAAATGATTTTCGTAATTATTTTGTAATTTGATTTAAAACGATTATTTCTCATGCTTTTAAAATTTGTTTCAGTTAAGAGCATTATTCTTGGTAATAGTGGCTGTTATGGGCCTTTCAGCTTTACCTTTTAATTTAGGAAACTCACTTGGTGCGATTTCGAATCTAATTGAGCAACAAGTACCAACTGATCAGGTAAATTATTTTTTTCGTTGCTTTATTTAACGAAAAACAAATTGGGAAAATTTTGTTAATTTTTTATTTTTTTTTTGTTTTAGCAACAAATTGTACTTGAAACTTTAATAGAGGAAATATTGAAAGATTATTTAATTGCCCTCAGAAATAATTCAACTCTTGGATCTTTGTAATCATATTTTGTAATTTTGAAAAATATCTAATTCAAGTTAAAGTACTTTTTAATTGTTAAACTTATCAAAAATATTTATGTATAATTTTTAAAATGTATTAAAAATATATATATTATTATTGTTCTATTAAATATTGCTACATTGCCCTAATTGTGATAATATTGTGTATTTAAAAGTAAACTGTGTATGACTGTGTATAACAACGTATTACATAAAATTTGATTTATTACTATAATAAAAATATATTTTTATTATAACACAAGTTCAATAATCATTTCAAAAGAATATATCCAGGAACGAATCAAATAACATTTTGTAAAATTACCTCGACTCTATTTAGTCAAAGTATATTCTAACTCATAAAACTACAATATTTCAGTATTAAATGAAAAATTCTTTAGATTAACTGAATAAAGCCAAATTACATAAAAAATGTACAAAAAATATATTAAATTTTTCAAATATTATTAAAAGTGGAGTTTCGTAAGATAAAAGTGATTACATCCACGCATGCTGGATTTATTTGTGAAATCTAAAAGGGATTTATATGTGAAATCTACCCCTTCTTTTCAATTTATAATTCGTATTGCCGAATATTCGGGTCTACGAATTCGAATAATTTCGAAAAAATGTAAGAGAATATTTCTTTAAAAAGAAAACAAATATCTTATAATCGCCCCTATTGGCTGTATAATCTCTTAAATTAATATATTAGAAATTTATGCAGTAAGGGGGGTGGCAAATTGTATTGAGATAACAAAACAACTTTATATTTTGAAAATCAACGATTTTATGCAAATTTATTGTTTTCCAATATTAAAATTTGAATATATTAATTAAAATAATTCGAATGAATTAAAATTAATTTCTTTTATTTTCTTTATTTTTATTTTGAATAATTATTATGAATGAATTAATATGTATAAAAAAATTAATTATTAAAATATCAAATTCAAAAGATTTTAATTTTCTCTGTTTCATTTTTTTGAAGAGAAAATTTAATTAAATTTAAATAAAATGAAATCGATATTAAATTAAAATCCCTTTTTTCTTTAACACCACCATATATACATATATATAGAATATATATGGTGATCCTTTTTCTATCACAATGAAAAAATAAATTTTTGTAAAAAATTTTCACAAATCTTCGTACATACAGAAAGTAAATTGAAAATTCTCTCATCCTATCGTTTTCATTCTAATATGCAAGCACTTTATATAAAATATTGTCACTTATACATGCAATCTTGTTATTAGTATGTGTATATGTATAATGCAAATGACAAAATCTTTGATATTTATTATTATTGAAAATTTTTATTTTTTTTGCATTTTTTAATTTTGTTGATTTTGCACTATGTATATTACATTTGAAAATCTGTAAAAAAAAACAATACAAATTGAATAATTTGATTTACTATATGCAATACACACACACACAAAAGAGCAACACATATTTTATATGAATTCATCATAGACAAAGTAAACTTTCGAAAAATGCATCCTATACATAATATTTTAACACTATTATCCTAAAATGTATTCACTTTGATATATTTTTATAACAATGTCAACTACTTGAAATCTAGTAACGAGATATATGTAGTGGAACAAAAGGAACCAAAAAAAAACAATTAACAAAAGAAATATTGAAAAAAAGTAAAAGAATGAACATTTGATAAGGATAATCGATTTGCATACTGTTCAGATTTTATTTTCTTTTGTGGATGAAATCTATGTCTAATAAATGTTCATTATTTTCCACATAATAGGTATTATAAATGCATTGATAATTTGATTGATTTCTTTGCTTCTTTTTTAACCATATATACGTGTATATGTTTATGAAAAGGATAAAAAGTTATATTTATTCTAATAATTATAAAAGTGATGAATGAATTTTAAAAAAAATTGAGATAAAATACTTTATTTTTGAGTTAATCACTTTTATCTCAAAAATTTACTAAAAGTATTAATTAAAAAAATCCGCATCGTTTGTTGCGGATTAGTTTCCCGCTGTAGAATAACCCTCTCTGTATACTTTTCAAAAAAAAAATGCGGCAAATGATGAATAGCCAACATGGTTTTAGATTTTAATTAGGTAGAGAAAATTAGTTCGTCTAAAAGAGTGAGTTAATATTGCGTGTCGCTGATAAATTCGTAACGTAGCCAAAATAAATTCAGACATAAAATTTCATCAAAATCAGAGAGGTAAATCGATAATTTTACTGAAAATAGTTTATTTACGCTTCCCTACTACGGAGAAGTGAGTTTCGCCGAAAACTCGGTATGCAAAATTTGTTGCTATCACATAACCTCCCTTATTGTATACAATGCGGTCGGTAATAATAGGTATGTACGTAAATTTATAATATGTATTATGATAGTATTTCGCCTTAATTTATGCAATTTTTTTTTAAATATTCATCACAATAATGTTCATCCCAATTTACAAAACAATTTTTATATTTTGAAATGCGGAATTATTGAATTATATTAAGTATTAGTATTAATATTTAATATGAAGAGATATTTTCAAGAATAATGTTTTAATAATGACCCTGTTTTATGTAATCATGAAGATATGAAACTTTAAAATTTAATTTAAAAAATAATATTTTATATAGGAAAAAACGTCTACTTTTCAGCATTTTTCTTTCATTTTATTAAATTTTATTCTTAAGTGAATATTCCCTTATAAGTTCAAACTATGGGTATATGCCCTTATGTATAATATATATGAAATTGAATATAAAAATTATAAAATATTTCATCTATGTATGCATAACTAAAATTCTTTAATGAATATTTTTATATTCCTGCAATATTTTCTTTATCTTTGTAGTTTGCGTCAATCTAATTTTTCATTCCATTATTTTATAATATAGAAACGCGACGAAGAAGAATAGAGGAAATATATAGAGGCTGTTAAAAGCAATTTGTGATAAAGGTATATAAGAGCAAAAAAAAAAAAAAATTATTACAAAGAAAATATGATAATTGTATGGTTTCTTTTTTTTTTTTTCTTTGCTTTTTGCATTTTATTCAACTTGGAAAATATAATTACATTTGAAGACTAGACTTTTAAAAATGCGATAAAGTGAAATATAATTATACTAAATATCTCTTGTCGACGTTAATGCTGTTATGTTAATATTTTTAGATTTGAATAATTATAAAGTTCCTTAACCATTAAAATAAGACACTATATGCAATATTTTTGTATATGTTACAAGTTTTATATTCATATACTCGTATATTATGTAGAATTTATGTTTGTATTGGTATTTGAAAGGTTTTGGGATGAAAGTGTTTTTGTATTTCTTTTAGAGATTTGAAATACTGCATAGTAAATTTTATTTTCTCATAATAAATCGCATATTGTCAGTCACATAATAAAATTTAAATGATATTCCAATATATTTATTTAATATGTATAAATTATATACATGAGTTAGGCGAACAATGTGATAGCTCCAAGTTTTAATTCAATTTATACATGAATGCAAAATTCTTTAATTATCTAAGGTTATTGAAAATAATGTATTATTGTAAAATAAGATAATGTATTATTCGATGAGAGAAAATATATGAAGATACCACATGAGAACCGTACCATTTCATATTATTAACATAAAAATGTTACAGAAATTTATTTGCTAGAGTACATCGTCAATTAATCAATTGAAATGCTTTAATTTTAAAAAATTTATTTATTTATTTATTTATTATTTAATTTCAGACAATTCATATAAAATTGTGTATAAGAAATTAAAACTAAAATTAATCTTACAAACTAATTTTTTATAAAAAATCCAAATTGGTTTTTATTTTCTAAAATTTTTTATATATCTTCTTAATTTAGTTTTGAATTCATTTACTCCTTTACAATTCTTGATGTCATCCGGTAATGTATTAAATATTCTTATTGCACTGCATTTTAGGCCTTTCAACTTCATCGATGTACATGCTTTCGGTACCATGAGATGCCTTCTCTGCCCAGTATTATAATTATGTACCGTATCTCTTGTTGGAATCAATAACGATGTTTTCATTTTTTTGTTTGTTATTTTGAAAACATATTTGCACTTCTCGAAATATATAAGCTGGTTTATATCTAATTCATTTGTTTTTATGTATAGTTCCTTAGTGGCCATTCTTGGATTCGAATTATATAATGTTTTTAAACTTCTGTTCATGACTACACCCATTTGATTAATATGAAATTTAGTACAAATACTCCAGTTGCATATATTGTAACGAATTTTAGATAATATGTGCCCGCTGTATATTAATTTCGCTGCTTTAGCTGGAACACCACCTGCTCTTTTAATTGCCATAGTGATTGGAATAATACTTTTTTTTAACTGCTTAATATGTTTATCCCATTTTAAATTTTCATCTATATAGATGCCCAGATATTTTACATGTTCCGTTCTTTGTATCACATCATTCCCGGCTTTTATAGTAATTTCATGATATTTTTTTTTTGGTTTTTTAAATACCACATAATTCGTTTTTTTAGCATTCATGCAAAGGCCATTGCCGCTGAGCCAATCCATATAGACCGTGATATCTTTATTTACTATATTTTCTAATTCACTCAAGGTTTTTGCTTTTGCTATGAGGTTTGTGTCGTCAGCATATATTGTGTACTTTGATTCCATGTTACATTTAGAAAGATTCATAACATATAATAAATACAGAAGTGGTCCCAATAGAGATCCTTGTGGTACACCCGTGTTTATACGTAATTCAGCGCTTTTCGTGTTTCTGATTCGCACACTATGCATTCTATTCGATAAGTAACTTCTGAATAAACTATTTGCTGTGCCTCTAATTCCCAAATCTTCAAGAAATTCTAGAAGTCGGCTATGATTAACCACATCAAATGCTTTACTTAAATCGATAAAAACACCCGCAACGTAATATCCTTCATCTAAAGCGTCATATACATGATCTAGTGTTACCGAAACAGCAGAGTCAGTACCACTTCCACTTCCTTCTATGAAGCCATATTGATTTTTGTCAAAGCCGATTGTTGATTCAACAAAGCTACGGATTCGTTTATTAATAGCCTTTTCATATATCTTACTTATAGAATTTAGTATAGATATTGGCCTATAAT